TCTTCCTAGATTAAATGCACAGTACGAGGAAGAAACCATATCATGTGCAGGTGTTTGGGATTGGTACAGTAAGTTTCCTGAAGCCCATGAAGTTTTACACCTACCGCATGCCCATATTGTGTTGATGTTTTTATCAGACATCTGCACTGGTTTGAATTTGGCTGAAAACACATTCCTACATTGAATAGTGACCTGTGTTGAGTTGTGGGTGCACTACTTCACTCCAGAATTAAAGTGGTTTATCATAGACTGGCATCACATGGGATCTGGGACACCCACAAAAATTCAAGATAACTGTCAGCTGACTGGATCATGGATAGTGTGTTTTGGGATTCAGGACTAATTTATGTCAATTTCCTTGAACATTTTATAGCAATTAATGCACAGTGTTATAGTAACTTGCTTCACAATAATGTGCACCAAGGAATTCAGAAGAAAAGACCTGGGTAACTGTCAAAGAATATCATTCTGTTGCATGTCAGTGCTCTTCCACATATGGGAAATTTGACAAAGGTGACACTGGCAGCAATAGCCCACAGTGATCTTAATTTGTTTAGACCAATGAAGGGGCACCAAGAAGGATAGAAATTTCAAACTGATGATGAACTCAGATGGGGTATCCTGAACTGGCTATGCAGCCACAATAAGACATTTCATACTGCTGGCATGAGTAGCTTACCAGGATGGTGGGGAAAAAAATGCGTTCACATGAAGGGTGAATATTTTGAAAAACTGATATTAATAATAATAATAATAATAATAATAATGGAAATGTGTAAATCACAACACTTGAGGATGACCCTATAAGAGTCAAAACATGTAGTGGAACATAAGTTAATAAATTATAGTCACACTGACAGAAATTATATTATTAGTCTTCCAGTACCTGGCTAACCCATATTGTGGGTCATCACTAGGGACCGGATTTTAATGCAAATGCATATTTCTTTCTTGCAACCAGAAAGTATGCTCGTTTGGATATATGTATGAATTACTTAATTTCTTAAATTTTGGACATGGTTTGATGGTGCATATAAATGCATATTTTGCATGTTTTATGAATAAGCATCATATTTTCGAAGATCTCTATTTATACTGCATATTTCCTTTTTAAAATGTTTACCATATATATTTTTTAATTTTATGTTCATGGTCATGTGTATACAAAATTTCTTTTCCGTATGTTGCATATTTGGCTCAACATTTCGGCATCATTCATGTTTCTGATGCAATACCCAGGACAGGACTTCCCCGATCCCTCTACTCGTAACTTGCCTCATCCACGTACCATCAAAGTGGCCGCGAAGAGATTAGTCGGAAGCGTTCACATGTAGCTGCTATCAACGTAATACTATTCAACCGATAAGGGACTTCACTTATTTATTTCCGAAGTCTCCATGAGGTTCGTTACGCTTCTTCATTTGAAGCTGGGGGCCATTCACATTAGTGGTGACTAGTCTGTAGTTAAGTTTGTTGAGCATTCTGTAGTCATGCCAAAAGTGAAAAAGTAAGTCAGAAAACTAAAGTACAGCTGGATCAGTGGGAGTTCAAAGTAGAGATGATAAGTACAGATAACGAAATTCTTTATTGCCGAGCGTGTGAGAAAACAGTTGATTGTGAAAAACGCTTTCAAGTGCTTCAGCATTTGAACACTAATATACACAAAGAGAATATTAAAATTAAATCCACGAAAAGTGCTCTGTTCAAAAATTGCTTAGTGAATTTTCTAATAATAATTTCTCACAGTTTTCCTTTGATTTATATGAAGCCTTTTTAGCGGCAGATATTCCGCTGTGGATACTAACCAATCCTACAGTGAGAAACTTCATAGAGAAGTATACACAGTGCAAAGTGCCAGTTGAATCTACTGTGCACAAAAATTACCTGAAGCAATGTTACAATCTTACAATTGAAAGCATTAGAGATAAGATACAAGATAATTTTGTGTGGGTATCAATCGACGAAACACAAGATTGTGAGAGATGGTATATTGCAAATTGTATAGTTGTATTTCTTAATAAGAATGAACAACAATCTAGCCCATATCTTCTTGCGGTAGAGCAATTTGAAACCACAAATAGCTCCACAGTTTCCGAATTTTTTATCAATTCCATGAATTTACTATGGCCGAATGGCATTCAGTATGAGCGCGTATTGCTCTTTGTGACTGATGCCGCAAGTTATATGATGAAAGCCAGTACTGCTTTTAAAGTTATATTTCCAAATATGACACATTTGACTTCCCTTGCCCATGGGTTTTACCGTGTTGCAGAAAGAATTTGTGCAAAATTTCCGCTTGTTGACAAGTTGGTGTCTTCTGTGAAGAAGGTATTTGTTAAAGCACCATGCAGAAAAGAAGCCTTTAAAGCAGTAGCACCGAGCGTTCCACTTCCGCCGGAACCAATTTTAACGCACTGAGGCACGTGGGTGTGTGCAGCGAGTTATTATACCGAACATTTAGAAACAGTTAGGAATGTCGTGAATACATTTGATCCCAAAAGTGCATCATCAATTCAAATTAGCCAAGATGTACTGAAAACTCAGATCTAGAAACTAATCTTTCCTATATATCTGCTCACTTCTCTCATCTTCCATCCGCCATTTCCTCACTGGAGGCAAACAATAGCAATACTACTTTGTATCAGTTGTTAAGTGTGTTCAAAACCACTATTTCCAAATTGAATTCGATTCCTGGAAGAGTTGGTGAAGTAGTAAAGGAAAAAGTACACAGCATTCTTTAAAAAAAATCCAGGATATGAACAAATTTGTGAAATTGAAGAAATTTTAGCCTGTAAATGTACTGAACTGCCAAGTAAATAATCAGTAACAGTGGAACAAATAGTGGCTTTTGTACATGCGCCCCTAAGTTCCTGTCAGGTGGAAAGAAGTTCTTCCTGCTAAAAGGACATCTTACGAGACAATAGGAGGCGACTAACTATGGAGAACCTAAAACATTTAGTAATTGTGAACTGCAACAGAAGAGAAGTTGAAAGTTCAGAGAGCTAAATGTTAGTATCCAGATTTTTATTCAGGTGTAAGTATTTTACTTGCTGGGAACAGAGGATTTTAAATCCAACAGTGCTCTGAAAAAAGTCAGAAGAATGTGCCATCCCAGGCGCTTCCTTGTTTCACCTTTACTATCTCTCAGGCTCTGGCCTAAGGATAGAATATGCCTATTGCTTCAGGTTTCAGAATAATTTGCTGCTAACAGGAAGTGTGATTGAATGAATAATTTGTTAACCTTCTAGCCTGTATAGCCAGAAAATTGACAATTGGATGGAGATGTATCCCATAGATGATAGATAAATCAGATGTGAAACAGAGTGAAGCACGTGATATAGCACATTCAGAAACTACCTGGGCATCCTGTTATCATTATAGCTTATTTGAATAGCAGTTACTGGCTCGTTATTAATTAAAAATTTTGTGAAGTTTGTTCAATCGAAATTTAAAGTAAGCTTATTAGCTATGAACCACTTGTTGATGACATACAGGCATTCATTCTTTTGCTGTACACAAAGAAATTATAAAAGATGGTACACTGTAGAAGAAAAGGAAAAAAGGCTTTCTTCTGTGAGTAAAAGCATACATTACAGCTTAGGGAGTATATAAAAAAGTAATCACTTCAAAATTTTTTGTGATACGTGAGTAGTAATTCCAATATATAAACATTAAGAAGTAGTAAGAATGCTGCAATTAACTCTCTGGAGCTGAGTGCTTCTTGAGAACCAACCAGCTGCTCAGCTATCCAAGAATTTCCCAACATTTTGTGGAACCTGAAGGTTCAGTACCATATTCACAACAGCCTGTAACTGGTCCCTATCCTGAGCCGGATGAATCCAGTCCACACCACCTCATCCTATTTCTCTATGATTAATTTTAATATTATACTCCCACCTACACATTAGCTCAGTCAGTATAGTGATTGGCTATGGGCCATATACCAGGTTTTGATTTTGATTTGAGGCAACAGACTTTTCTCTTCTCCACAGGGTGCAGGCCACCTCTGGGGCCCACTGAGCATCCTATACATTGGGTACTGGTGGAGTGTGGTTTCCTGGGGGGGGCTAAAGCGGCCAGTGTCTAAGTTGACCATTCACCTCTACCTAATGTTGGGGTCAGGAATGGCAGAGCTACACCTATGCTTTCCCACACATCTTCATCCTATTGTGCTTAATTAATTAATTAAGTACAGTGACAACTGTACCTTAAATTACTCCTACCTAAACGTAAAAATGTTGTTCTGGTTCAAATAGCGAATTTCTTACATCAGTATTGTGCAGAATGAGAAATATGCTGTACACGAAATAGAGGATAAAATTAAACCAAATTTTGAACCAATTTGGAATATCTTTTCTACATTGTGTTCTTTGGTAAAATATGTTGTTCAGGGTCTTCAACTTTCATTCGGAGTACTGAAAACTTTAAATATTGCGACGTGACACACACCGCAAAGCTACTTTTAAAATATGTACAAACTAATCTCACGAACTAACTTTTCGAGCAAGAGTCCTTAAAACTGGCTGGTTTGACTGCATAAATCTGTGACTACATTACTAATAGATTTAAAAAATTTGTCTGTGCTTAGTTGGCAACACTCGAGACGTCACCAAATGGTCGAAGCCTAATTTTGGCTGGATGATGTTGTAGAAATGAACGGAGGTGTATCCGCTTAAATCCAATGAAATCTCTGTACATCGAAGTAAAGAATAATTAAAATACCACATTATAATACCCGAGAGGCTTTTATTTCTTTGTAAATCAATAACCTGATATAGAATTGAACTATTAGTTTGGAATGAAGATCATATATATTGGAAGTCGTCCACGAAGGACGTTCGAATATTTATTTTCTGGCTGAATACAAGTACCCATCATTTTGGTGAGTACATTTCAATGACACATATACTATATTTGCATGGATTATTATTTTGTGCTGTGAGTGTTCTGCAATTCCTAAAATAGTTATCTACCTGTAAACGAACTGTGGGAACATAAGATGGCGGACGGTTAGTGGTAGTGTACATTTGGAAACCAGATGAACCGTTGAATTATTAAATGTGCTTTTAAAGGAAAGTGAAGATGCCTGGTAAAATTTAGTAGGATCATAGTACAAGTGGAGTATTAGTCTTTAAGAAAATAATTATAAGCATTTATAAGTTAGGTTAGGATATGTATTGGCAATTGAAGGCAAAGTTTTTTCTTAATTTTTTTCAAGATGTAGTGCGTCATTTATATGTAATTTTATAGAACATTTTTTTCATATATATACACCGTATTTTAATTGTTTGTTCTCTGGTCTTTATTGAAAGCAGTTACGGACAAAATGTGCGTTTCACAGACATTAGTTTGGTCTGTGACTTGGAAAGTTTAACGAATATATATGAAAAGTGGTTTTAACTTATTTGTTTCTATTTAAAGTAAGGGTTTAGAAATGTGTATATATGTAAAATGGGGTTGTGATAATATTGCTGAAAGTATATAGATAATTTCATAGTTCATATTTCAATAAGAGGAAATAAGCATGTTTGTGGGCAGTGATGCATGATTTGTGTTTTCAAAATTGTGAAATTTTCCAAACAACCGAGCGCATATATTTTTCAGTAGGTGATATGCCAAGTGGTCGTGATGCGGAGCGAAATGGAAGGATTAGTGAACATCGTCGTAGATCAAGCAACACTCAGAGATCAGATGCATCAGGAAGTGACCTAGATGGTAATGGTATCCAAACAAGTATGGACTTGGAGTCTAGAGGAGGTAGACGTAACAGGCATCGTAGTGAAAGTCATGGGAGGATATCAGGTAATAAGAAGAGCAGGAAAAAGCGACGGTCCAGAGAATGCAGTTCTGGTGGTGCTGACAATCCAGTGGTTTCTGTAGCATCATCAGTGATAAAGCCTTTAGTTGAATATTCAGATGTGAGTTCAGAGGATCTCTCTGGTCCTGAAGCAGGTGAGATACAAAGTGATGAGAGTACACGGATTAGTTTAAGTGAGGGGGAAGTGAGTCCAACATCTCCACATTCAGGAATCCAGCATGGCTCTGCCAGTCGGAGTCAGCATAAACATGGCCGAACATCTCACAGTGCTACTAATAGTAAACTAGTGGAATCAGACATTGATAGAGGTAAAGGGTACAGGCATCACAGTGAAAGGAAATCCCTCTCATCACATTCCCATGTTGTGTCTTCCCCTCCACCAAGAAGCAGTGAAAACAGGCGGAGTCATAGTGGGCGACATGCCGTTTCTCCTTCATTAATAATTCGATCGCCTTCTCCTTCAATTTCCATGCCAAAAATTAGCAGTAAACGGAAGGAACGGAGAGCATCTGTTTCTTCGGTTACATCCCGAGGAAGTGAATTAAGGCACAGAAAACATCATGATCGTTCACCTTCTGCCGAAAAACTTCATGGTGGCAGAAGTATTTCCCCATCTTCTATTGACATTTATAGGAAAATGAAGGATGGGCATTCTTCCAGTAGTCGCCATCGATCCAGCTCCATGAAAAAGAAGGAAAAGAAACACAGACGAGACCGAGATAGGAAGTTGAAAACTTCCCACCGGTCAAGTAGAAGTCCAAATTCTACTAGTGGCAGGAAGAGGAGAAAGAAATCTAGGCATCATTCTAGAAGCTCTTCCCGTTGTGGTGTGGGAGACGAAAATGTTGGCGGCCTAACACCTCAGTCGGACGATGATATAAATGTGGTTGTGTCAGGAGAGGAGCTAGTGGATGGTGGTCAGTTGGTAGGTTCTTGGCATCATCCAGCATCTCCTGATGAAATAATGTTACCATGTACGATGCCGAGGTCTGCGTCTCCAGCTGACAATACGAAGAGAAATGCAGTGGTTTCTCCAGAGTCTCCCCCATTTATTGGTGAAGGTAACACACCACCACATGAGCCAAGTGATATGGAAATTGAATCTTCTGAACCAGAAGAAAGTGTGTCATCTCAAACAAGGACTCCTGCTATTTTAGTTCCCGTTGCTGTGAGGTCTTCAAGGGGCAGAGGTGGTAGCACTCCAGTTTCTTCTCCCCATACTCCACCATTACCCCCAAAGGCATATGAGAAGTTGAGCTCATCGAAGCTGGCTGCTGTGGAATCAAGATACAGTGGGAGATGTTCACCGAGTCCAACAGATAGGAGATCCCCTAGTATACTTCCAAGACGAACACCATCATTAAGCCCTGTCCCAAGACGGTCCCATAGTATTTTAGAGGAAGAAGAAATAGTGCGGTGGAAACCTGCAAACACTTCCCCTGGGCCTCGATCTCCTCTTCCTCACCATCCTACTCCAGTCCACATAATATCCAGGCGAAGCGCAAATTCGCCATCCCGAAAGAGAAGGAAGAGCAGTAGAAATGAAAAGGACAGAATGAGAAGTCACAAGAGAGAAAAAGAAAGAGACAGAGAGAGGGAAAGAGATAGAGAAAGAGAAAGTGAACGAGAACGTGAGAGGGAACGAGATAGAAGTCATAAACCCAGTCGGATGCGTAGGAGCAGTCGTTCAAGAAGCCAGTCTCTACTGAGGTAAGTGATGCACAATTTGTATAGAAGTGTTGTTTGGAAACAGTGTTGCATAACTTAATTTATATTCTTCTAAGCAGTATGAAATTTCAAGTATTGCTTTATTATGACACCTGAATTTAAAAGTTGATTGATGGTTTCCAAAGGTCTGTGAGGAAAAAATCACAAATCAGTAATTACCGTGTTCGTTCATCACATTGCACTTAAATTTGATCATTTGTATTTTTCAGTGTGTAGCTGCATGCTGGTTTTAACCTTCATCAGACAGTTTTATTTCTTTTTGTGTTGCTGTTTATATATTTCTGGCTTCACATTTTCTAAGTGGATATTAGTACATTTTTTCTCTGTTCGAGCTCTGGAAAGGAAATGTATACATTGCACATATACAAAAGAGGAAAACTACAGTATTTTCCATTTGTACATAATCTGTACTTAAACTGAAAGTCTTCAAAATTAATTTCAGCTTTGTTGCTTTTGTCATGTGGATCGGGGGGAGGAGAGATGGTTGTGGGAATATATAGAATATATAGTAGTTTACAGTTGCTAAAAGAGAATCATCAGAGCTTAGGAATGGGTACACAGTCTAAGCACTTGCATATTTTATAATCCATATATGATACATGGAGGAGGAAATGACGTTGATTCCATAACTTATACTCTTATGACAGAGCCAGTACTTTGCTAGTGTCCCTGCAAATCATTGAGCCTTTCACACAGAAAAGTCGGATGCTCTTGTCAAATTGGGCCTGCTAAGTTTTTTGACTACTGGTAGAACCACTAATCATGTAGCCTGAAGATATTATAAATAAAACTTATTCATGAAATGTACTATCATGTGGGATGTGACCCAGCATGGTCTGGTAGATGCTTATTGACTTTCTGAAGGAATGTACTACCGTCATCACAGTTGAAGAGTAAACAAAGCAACAAACAGTGCTTTGATGGTCATTTGCCTGTTGCTTGGCTTACTTTTCAACCCTGAAGATGGAGGCTATGCATTCCTCCTATATATATGTAAATTTCTACCAGACTGCATGATGGCATATCCCAGAATATGATAATCTTCATAGTCACTGCTGTGAGAACATCAAATCATACAAAACTTACCCAAATTGGAGCAAATGTAAGGAATGCTCACTGTTGTTCCACACACATTCCTGGCATATCTGTAAAATGTTGCATTTATGTTTTGAAGTTCTTTGAGAAGAGTTAATACCTCCTTTTAGGTATTTTCCTTCAGTTGTTCAGTCATGTATTTGATTTGTAAACTTCCTTTAGGGTTCCCTATAAATGAGTCACAGGTTCAAGTCAGAGGAGCATTTTGGCCACAATCTCTGTCCGCAAACACGTTCATGAAAGCCATAACTGTATGATTTGTCTTTGAAGAATATGTTTTTTCGTTCTTTTGACCAATTCACTACTTGAATAATGGATGAAGTATCTGCTCCATGTATCGTTCAGAATTAATTGTGTTCTTGAATAGAATCTGTCCAGTTATTCTGTCTGTACTCACATGACTTTTATAATAATCTAGTGGAACCTCGTATAATAATCTTGGACTGTGTGGGCTTTGATATCTGATCTGTGAGTTACCTCCCTGCATAATTGAAACCAGGCGTCATCAGAAAAGTAAATTATGCGTAGACCAATTTTATCGTCATGTAGAGAATGAATTCTGTGGTATAAAAATTGACTCTGTTGGTGGGATCACATGGTTTGAGCTCATGTGCTGCCATTATCATAAACAGTGTCAAAAGTTTTGTGGCAGTTGTTCATAATGACAGTTCTGAAACTCCAGTCGTCTGTGCAAGACTGGAGAATTAGAACGTCTTGTCTTCTCATCTGCTGCCAAAAAACTTTAAAATAAAAATATATGAGACTATAATGTTGCCTGTGGTTCTGTATGGGTGTGAAACTTGGTCTCTGCAATTAGGGGAAGAACATAGAATAAGGATATTTGAGAACAAGGTGCTGAGGAGAATATTTGGACTGAAGAAGGATGAAATAATAGGTGGCTGGGGAAAATTGAGCAGTAAGTAGCTTCATAACCTGTACTCTTCAGCAAATACAGTTAGGATGATCAAGTCAAGGAGGATGAGATGGTCAGGGCACATAGCATGCATCGTCTTGGTAGCACAGTTTGAAAGAAAAAGGCCACCACAAAGACATAGATGTGGGTGGGAGGATAATACTAGAATAGATCTTATAGAATAAGGTGGGACAGTAAGGACTGAATTCATCTGGATCAGGATAGGGACCCATGGTGGGCTTTTGTGAACACAGTACTGAACCTTTGAGATCCATAAAATGTAAGGAAATTCTTGAGTTTCTAAGCATCTGGTGGCTTCTCAAGAAGGACTCAATTTAGTTATGTTCAAGCCTGGTAATTATTTCATACATTTTCTCTGCAGTGAGCACTCAGCATTCAGTTAAATTTTTATTCAGTCTGTCTTAATTTGTTTACAGTTTCACAAATTGTTTCTTTGTGTGCAACCATAAGATTCCAAAATTTACTCCAGAATATTCTTGCTTTTCATGCAAAATCACTTTTTATGAGATGTTGTACATGAACTCTCATTCCAGTGTGCATTTCACACTTGATATTTTGACATAGAAAATAATACACCGGAAGGATTGCTTACTTATCACATATATGGAGTACAGTAGTTGCTGTTCATGAGAGATAAAATAAATGAACCCATACAGTCTAGAAAAATCACTGGGTAATGGTAAAATACAAGTTTGGAATGACTTCAGTAAATCAAAGTAAATTAATTTTGTTACTCAACAACAGATTAGTTTTATCATTATCTTTAATCAGTGTTAAAACCAAAGACCCTTTTCTTAAGAAGCATGCCATCTTCTGGGGTGTGGCACCATGTAGATCTTGTGTGAGCACCCTTTTCTTATGTTTCAAATCATAGTCTAGTACGTCTCTAATGATAGTAATAACTTGATCTAAGAAGTCTGGTTTCCATTTATATGTTGTTTGGTAAAACTTGGCATCAGGGATTCAAACTGTAATAATTTTAAACATGTGAAACATACAGAGCTGTCTATTTGTGAAGACTTGAATGCTTTTGTAATAAGTTTTGAATCCGTTTCATAACAATTAGTTTGAAGTACCTTGTAACAGCATTCACCTTAAAGAGTACTTGCGACAGAAAAGCAGGAACTGAGCAGATTGGTGTAGCAGTAATGCTTTTGATTTGTATTTGGGAGTCTTGGTTCAGATCCCGGCCAGGATACCAGCTATGCTGACTGCAGTTTTTTCCTTTGTAGTTTTCCTCCACCCCTCTAGGAAAATGCCAGAATAACACACCACAGCGACTTCTCCCAAA